TCACCATGCATTTGAGAGGTGACGGGTGGGGGGGGGGAGCAGGGGTGGGGGGAGGTGCTGTTTTGTTGGCTCGTTACTAAACAAGTCATGATGGAATAGTACATTCTCAATAGCCTGGAGCATCCAAAGGTTTCCTCACTGACACATGGCTGCCAAATAAAATCCAAGAATAGCCAACTAACCACGGGACCATCCCCCACCCCCACCGGACCCCATAGCTACGGACAGATTTTCATGAAGGTGATTATAGAAATCCTTGCAGACAGGAAAGGACTGAACCACAATGAACAAAGAAAGCTAGTGCTGTGGATTAATAATGACACCTTCACCCACTACTTAAAAGAACCTTTATGCGCACGCACTGCCCATCACGAGTACTGGAATAGAAACGTTCTGAAGGAAGCGATTTGCTGGTGATTATAGCTTTGAGTTAAACACTAGAGCCTCACAGCCAGTAGCTACACGTGGCTATCCCCCCAGGAATGGGGCTAGCCCTACAGGTTGCAATAATAATGGGAAAAACTGGGCTAAATAAAATACAGTAAAATGAATTTCACCTGTTTCTCTTTACATTTTATGGTGGTTACTAGAAAATGTTGAGCGATGTTCATGGTTTTTGTCTTATTTATACTGACAGTGCTGCCCTAGAGCCTTGGTGAGCAGATGGGAACAGCAACAAGCCCCGCCCAGTGTCTCCCGAGCCCCTACTGTGGTGCCAGGGCCAGGCCCAGCGCTCCACACACATTCCACCATGGAAGCTTGGGAATGACTCCAGCGTGGGCATTAGTATCACTCCCCTTTTACAAGTGGAAACCGAGGCAGAGAGTCTGAAGACTCGCGCCAGGAGTGGGACCCCACGCAGTTTGGCTCCAAATGGTAAATGGTGTTAATTCAAAAGAGTTGCTCCATTGTTTATGAAAGAGACAACACTGATACAAAAAAAAATCATGCAAATAAACCTTCCCTATCCACTCCAACATATTCTTGGGGGGGGGGAGGGGCGCGTGGGGAGGAATCAAGCTTCCAAAAGTAAACAAACTTGCCCTACTGGCTTGGCTCAGGGATTGAGCATCGATTTATGAACCAGGAGGTCATGGTTCCATTCCCGGTCCGGGCACATGCCTGGGTTGTGGGTTCAATCCCTGGTGTGGGGTGTGCAGGAGGCAGCTGATCAATGATTCTCTCTCATCATTGATGTTTCTATCTCTCTCTCCCTCTCCTTTCCTCTCTGAGATTAATAAAAATATATTTGCAAAAAACAACAACAAAAGTAAACAAACTGGACATATTTAGACATTTACTGCCTTTCTGATAGTGTCCCCAAGAGCACTAAGATAAAATGCACGCTCAGGAAGATGACAGGCGCTGTCATATTTTAAACCACAGGAAGCAACCAGTCCTGGAAAGAGAAGGCCGGGATGGTCTGCGAAGGCCCGAGCACCAGCATTTGAGAGCCTCTGTCCTAGAATAAAGCACATCCGCGCCCACGTCCTGTCTGGTCAGGACACAGCTGGCACCTTCCCAATGCGCCAGTCCTGCTCTCTGACCTCCAACACCAGGACTGAGTGTCACCATAGCGTCTGGGTGACAAAGCCATGGCACGGTTTCTGCTTATTAACAGTGGATGTTTAATGAAGCCACAAAAGCTACCCTGAGTGCTGGCCCCCGAAGCCCCCGTGTGATTTCATCGGCCACACTGTGTTCAGTTCTAGGTTGTCACGCGAGGCGGAGTCAGGGTTCACTGGCTCCGAGCCCGGTTTGAAGGTCCGAGTAGAATCACAAAGGAGAAAAAAAATAAGTAGGTCCTCCTATTTACTCTGGAAGATTTCAAAGAAACCCACATCCTACCAGCCAACAGTCCGCGCCAACCACAATACTTCATGGTGAATATGCTCTCATTCTGGCTGCTTCAGGCACGCAGCGTGTGAGAGAGGAGCGGAGACAGCGAGAGGGATGAAGGATTGGGGACACCCCCTTTCCGACAGACGCAGACATGGAATTGTCTGCTTGGCTCCTCCAAGTTGGCCAGCTGCCCTTCTGAAATGAACATGTTGTGCTAACTTCAGAAAGAATGTTGGCAGGGCCGGGAGGTCTGCCGCGCCACCACTGGGACGGCGAATGCCTTCCTTCCCAGGGCGGACACGCTGTGACCTCGTGCAGCGGGCCGGCAGGGACCCAGCGTGGCCACATAGACACGAGCTGCTTCCTCCCTGGGAGACAGACAGGGATCTATGAGGCTGTGCCTGATCAAGGCAAGTCTTATCTGAAGATGGTTTATAGTAAAGACACAGGGAGCCGATATGATTCATTTATTTCTTCACAATTTTCTTGAAACAATAATTAATAGCTACAGAGAAGTCATCTGTTGAAAGCCAGAGAGGAAAACTGTCCTCATGTCTTCTCTTTGAGTGTGTGGGTGGCAGGGAGTTTGAGGGTAAATCAGTCTTAACAAAGAAGAAGGCCCAGTCACCAAATGTCAAAATGCTTCTAACTGACACATACTTGGCAAGACACAAGCCTAAAACTGGAGACCGCAGTAAAACCCAGCATGCGTCCTATGGCTCCCCACCCTGACAACCACCGCTCTCTGCCTCTGCCCCTCACAGGGCCAGGCTTGGCTTTCGTAACCTCCTTATCCCAAGCCTTTATATCTTTGGAGACAAAGCATTTCTCTTAACCCACAAAGCTCCTCCCCCAACGCTGAGGATGCAAATACATGGACTGAAATTTTATTTTGATAAAACGATGTTGGCTTCACCATCAGGAAGAAAATTCACTTCATAGTTCCTTATCTCCTGGAGGCTGGCAGATCCTGTTCGGAAACCAAATTGCTAGTCCTTCTTTCCTGTAGTGTGCTTTTATTCATTTTAGATAGAGAGAGAGAAGCATCGACCGGCTGCCTCCAGTACGCACCCCGACCTGGGACGGAACCCACAACCTGGGCATGTGCCCTGACCAGGAATTGGATCAGCGACCTTTCGGTGCATGGGATGACGCTCAACCAACTGAGCCACAATGGCCAGGGCACTAGTCTTTTTTTTTTTTTTTTTAAATAAGAGCAGAATTAAAAGAAAAAACTCTGACAGTCAAATGTTTGCCAACAGCAGGGAGGCCAATACATCTGCTTGGCCTGGGCCCACGCCATCTAACTCCTCAGTGAGATGTGGTGTCGCTCATGCACAAACTGTTCCTTTTACCCCCAGGGGCAACCCTCATGGCCTAGGAAGTGACTGCTGATTTATTCACATCGGGCACATGACCCGAGACCCGCCAACTCGTTGGTTGGCCAATGTCTACTGGACCTATCTTCCTGCATACTATCTGACTAAGATCCAGACTGTTGTCAGCTGGTAACTACCCCTTGAGTTGAAAGGTCAACAGGTACTACACTAACCATATTGGGAAAGGAAAAAAACAACAACAAAACCTGGAAGAGAAGGAACCAGAATTTTGCAATAGTACCGAATCACAAAGCCATAGCAGAAACTCCAAGATGTAAGAGCCTGCGTGGCCCCTGAGAGAGTGAAGCATGAACCTCACTTGCTAGTTATATTCCTGGTCAGGGTGGCTTCAGGATCCCCCCACCATTGTTTCCTGAAAATCCTCCCTCCACATGAGCTACCCCTGAAAGGGGTTTCTGTTTCTTATTCCAAAAGAGACCTGACCAGCGCACCATCCACCAACTACCCCTACTCCCTATTCCATCCTCTGCTCTTGGAAAATCTTTGGACTCCTTTCCAGGCCTGTCAGGTTCATAATCTTGTTGCCGGTGTCTTCAGTTATATTACTGATATTATCACATCATTCCCAAGCCTCACACTTCCCTGTGCTACATCCCTACCGCTGGCTGTCAGGCTCTGGGGAGGCGTTTCTAGGAACGGCCAGATAGGAACCTCCCGTTTTTAGACATTACTGGTTAATGGCTCAAATGCCTTTCTTACACATCCTTCCCATTGTTCCTGGCTCTATTTTCTGGAATTATGGAGAAGAAATAGATGCTTCTGCTACCTCAGTGTAGGCTGCCTTCTTTGGTTACTAAGATAATCCCTCTGAGAGCTTTCTCTATTCATCTTTTATTCCTGATGAGGTGACTTCAAGACCCCTGGAGGCTCCTCTTCCTCTGACATTGCCCCCAATCCCATGTCCATTTCAGCAATTCCTGCCCACAGTTATCGGCAGCCTAAATTCAGCTTCCTATGGAAACTGCCCAGGCCACACTCAGAGATAAGCAGTTCAGTGTCGAGGTTAGCAGCATGGGTTTTGAAATCAGACAAAGTCAGGCTTGGTTTCTGGCTTCAGCATTCATGAACCATGAATATCGGGGAATGTTACCCAGTCTTTCCACACCTCGATGGCCTTATGTGTCCAATCTTAGTGTCAAACCCATCTCTCAACATTGTTTTGCAATTAGATGGAACATGTGGTGTACTTGGCACACAGAGAACTCCATCAAGGGTGTTTTCCTTTTCTTTCTTCATGTATACCAATCTCTCCCTTTTCTGAATGTTGGGTAGGGTGAGTGGTTCTGAGCATGATCTTTGGGATTAGACACCACAGCTTGGTAATCGGTGTGTGACCTTGGGCAAGTAACTGTACTTCTGTGTCTCTCCTCTGTGAAGTGGGGACCAACAGTAGCTACCCCATGAGGCTGTTGTTCATGAGGATGAAATGTGTTACCACATGTCACGGGCGTAGACGAGTTCCTGGCACAAGATCCCACCACCACTGAGGAGAGCTGTTAGCTGCTTGAGGTCGAAATACCATCCGATTTCATGCCTGCACGTCTCTCTAGCTAGTTAATTTACAGCTGAAAAACCATGTTTTATATTTTACAATTCTTAGTTTCACAAACATGTTTGTTGGAAAGAATGAATCAGTGAGGATCACAAGATCCAAAAAATTAAAAAAAAAACAAATCCTATCTAGCAACGTCAGATAGTTAAGACAACACAAAACAAGCAAACAAACACAGAAGCCCCCCGTGGGGACCGGATGTCTACCTGGTGGTAAGAGATGGGGACGGGCTTCCGGAAGACTATCCACTCCACGATTTCGCTACACGGAGGGGTGGTCAGAGAACCCGTGTACCGGTAATAGCTGCCCAGGGATGCAGGCAGGAGGTCCCGGAGGACGAAAGGATCCAGGAAGGTCTCCTTCTCTGTTTGGGGGAAGAGGCAAAAGAAAAGACAACGGTAAGTCGTAGGGTACTGCAGACCCACAGGCAGACCCCTGCATGCTGGCGCCACATCTCAAGCTTGTCTGCTCACCTCCCGGAGGCACAGCACTGGTGGTGGGAAAGCCCCGGACACACAGCAGCGGGTCCCAGGGCGTGTCCTCAGGGCTGCACTGCATCTCATGAAAACAGGTTCCATGATGAGCAATGCTCCCCAGGAAATGGACACAACACCAGCACAGTGAAGTCTTTGAGCAGCCCCGAGAGAAGCAACGGACTTGACTTTGTTTAACCCAAACCCTCACAATCTCGTCTCACCAGAGAGCTCTTCATTATACAATACTTTAGGACGGATAACCAGGGGGGCAAATGTCGGGGTACCCCTGAGAGAACCGGGGGAGAAAGCACTGTGAGTCAGGGTGCAGCTCCAGAGTCGGTTACATCACTTTGCTCTCACCCAGGGCCTGGGGAGATGGAAGTGAAACCTAACCTAGGAACGACCTGGAACTTACGAAGTGGTGGCCCTGGCAATAGGCTTCTTTCTTGTACAAAAGTGGAGGGGAAGGGTCTTCACTGACGTAGAAGAAATGACCTATTTCAGCTGGGACCCAACAATGATCCCTCACAGTCACAGAAGGGGTGAGTACCTTCCCAAGGTCGCAGAGCTTCTAGGGGGCAAAGCTGGGGTCAGAGCAGAGGCAGGGGGACCCCGGGGCTTGCATGGTCTGACTCAGCCAAAGGAGTTGAAGCGAGCTAGGTGCGTGTTGAAGGGTGGGGGCGGGAGAGGAGAAGAGCATTGTAGGCCTCGGAACAGCATGTGTGAAGGTCCTGAGGCAGGAAGGAACAGTGCAACAGAGGTGAGGGCTCGGTGTTGTAATTCTCCCAATCAGGCTCCCCGATCATCCAGCTTCTTTCACAAACCAGAGAAAGTTCTAGTCTCCACCTGGGGCTGCAAAGGTCTAGCCCGGACCTGAGTTTAAGTCTGGGGTGTCTTCCTCATCCCTTTTAGGCTACTGCACCTGCGAATGTCTTGCCTTAACTCCATACTGGCCTCCACCCTCTCTGGACCCCAGCACATTCCTGGGGGACTGCAGGGACCCAGGTTACTTCATGGACACACCTGTGCCTACAGGAACATTTGTCCCAAGCCTCATGCCTCCTCCCTCCTCTTTCTTACAGAACAAATAGTGCAGGTTTTGGGGCAAATGTGTACCCCTAAACTCAAGAGGCCTAGGTAACTGGGAATAATACAAAACCCCCAATAGAAACAGACTACATTAGAATAATTAAAATTGCATTTCCTCTTACTAGAAATTAGTCAAACACAACATTTACTATATGCCAGGCTCTAGTCTGAGTTTTTATTTTATTTATTTTATTTAAATATATTTTTAAAAAATTGATTTTTTACAGAGAGGAAGGGAGAGGGGATAGAGAGTTAGATACATCAATGAGAGAGAAACATCGATCAGCTGCCTCTTGCACACCTCCTACTGGGGATGTGCCCGAAACCAAGGTACATGCTCTTGGCCGGAATCGAACCTGGGACCTTTCAGTCCGCAGGCTAACGCTCTATCCACTGAGCCAAACCGGTTAGGGCTCTAGTCTGAGTTCTTATATGTTGAGCACATTTAAACAGCACTTACTGTATGTGTGAGGCATAGGTCTGAGTATAAAGACTAATTTATCTAATACTTAAAACAGCCCTGTGAAGTGGGTCCTATTATTTATTACTAACGATTTACACAGCTGGAATGCAAAACCAGGCAGTTCAGAATCCAGGCTTCCATTCTTCTTCTAAAAAGATTTTTAATTGATTTTTAGAGAGAGAGGAAGGGAACATCTATGGGCTAACTCCTGCACGCCCCCTACTGGGGATTAAGCCCGCAGCCCTGGCACATGCCCTGACCAGGAATCAAACCCGCAACTTTTCGGTGCACGGAATGATGCCCATCCCACTGAGCCACACCACTGGGCAGGCTTCCATTCTAATTAACCATCACTGCACTCTCGCTTCACGACTCTGTAAAATACATACTTTTAATACGACCATTTCACACCCGTGGAAACGAGGCACCGAGAGTTTCAATAACTACAGCCAAGGTCACCGGGGAACAGCGAAGGAGCTGCAGTTATCCACGAGGCTCAGAAACCTTGGCTTGGTTCTGACATGGGTTTTCAATTCGCTTCTCTGAAGGAAATATTAAATATTAACCATCAAGGCAAAAGTCCTCAAATTACAGGGCTCCATAATCAAAACGACAAAAGCGGTTTCTGTTCGACAAAAGGCCGGACACAATGGGATTGTCCCTGTGCCCACTGGCAAGTCTGGGCTTTAATTTAAACCTGGTTCCCGCCGCCTAATGATGGGGATCCCTGCAAGCGCGCTTGGCTGGGACTGTCGGCCTAAGAGCAGGAAATATGTTGGCATCTGCTTGTACTTCTGGGCTGTGGAAGCAACGGAGGGTGCGTAGGGCTTGACATTGAGGCCAGAAAATCACCACCTTCATTTCTCCCTCATGTTGAAGGTGAACTTGGCTTTGCAGCACAGCACACCACCTGCCTCAGGATCAAGGGCTGGGGACGGAAGGAGCAGAACATCTTTAGTTTTCCCAGAGGCCTGACCCTAGGTTAGGGTTGCGTTAAGAACGCCACAGGCAGACGGGGAGTGAGCAAAAGTCCCGGCAAGCCACACCGAGGCAAAGCCCCATGAAGCTCCCACTCGAGGAAGAGGCCGGCTTTAAAGAACATAAAAGCTACGCAGAAAGGCCTGTGCTGCCAGCCTCAGGGGCTAGAATTCAAAGGGATCTCTGTTCCTGTATGGGCCCGTGACTTCACCAGGGACACATGGAAACTGTGGCCGTGACCACTGCTACGGATGCGAGGGCTTCTCTGTCCTTGACCGAGCAGGTGCTGGCTTTACTGGTTAGAAGGTGGATCAGCTGGGTGGGCAGGTGGGCAGACCTGGCGAAGGGGCACAGAGAGGTGGCTTTGTTCCTGTTCGTTCCACTACCGTCCACCACTCGGGTCTCAGATCTGAGACCTGGAAGGTCCCCAGTTCAGTGGCTTCAGGAGCGAAAGAGCCCTTTTTTTTCAAACAAAATCCACACAGGAGCTGGGCACCTCCGACGGCTGAACATGCAGCCACCCAGGCTGAAGCTGAGCTGGGAGCCCAGGATACTGAAAAGCACCACTTTGGTCTAATTCTTTAATTTTACTGCTAGGGAAGTGGAAGACCAGGGTGAAGTAATGGAGCCAAAGTAAAAACTGGGGGAGAATACAGACACTCGGACGGGATTCTTTCTTCAGGGAAACCCCTTAGAATCTGGAGCACTGAGCCTGGGAGCGGGAAAAGCCACTGAGGCCTGAAAACCGCAATCGCACCACTGCCCTCCTTGGCCCTTCACTCCATCCCTACAGGGGCTGGAGAAGGGAGCGGATTCTCAGTCCGAGGGTTCAAATCCTGACTCTCCTACATGGGAGCTGCGTGATCTCAGTTACCAAACCTTCCCAGGCTGTCCTGAGAATTAAATAAATCATTACAAGAAAGCGGTTCAGGAAGAGTGTGGAACATAGTAAACATGTCGCAAACAATTAATATCATTATTTTAATTATTACTTGTATTATTATTATTCCTCTAAACTACCAAAGCCTCACCACATACATCTTACGTAACCGTAACCATCTATTTCCTTTAAGTGTTTGAGCACATGTCTTGCTTTTTTAAACACTGGATTACTAGAGCCGTAAAGGCACATCCCACCTGCCACATTCTTCACCCACCTGAGGAGTACAGGGTAGAATTTTCAAGTTCTCTTTGCCGAAGCTCTAGCATAGTTTTGGAACCAGCTGACATTTAACAGGTGTGTGACTTCAGGGAAAGATCTTAACCTCGCTGGTAGTTCCCTCATCTGTAAAATGGGGACGCTCAGGGCATTTACTGCTCAGGGAGGCTGTGACAACTGAGCAAGCTAATAAGTGTGAGAGGCTTGGCACAGGGCCCTGTGCACCCTGACTTATCAAGGCCAGCAATGGCGGAGAGCAGGCCGGCTCACCCTGTGTTTGACCCCAGGGATTAGCAAATGTTTTCTGTAAAGTGCCAGGTAATAAGTACTTTAGGTTTTGCAGGCCAAGGGGGTACTTATGTAACAAACATTTCCGCAACCTTATTAACATTATTCAAAATGCTAATAATCACTGAGGACAATTTTTAAAATATGGGTCTTCTATAATAAAAATGGAATTCTTTTGGGGAGAAATGCCATTTCATTTAATTAGGGTTCAAATGTAAGAACCATCCTGAGTTTAGGGCCATATAAAAACAGGCAGAACTGATTTGGCCCCCAGAGCACAGTTTACACTCATTATTATTATTATTATTATTATCCTCTCCCAAAGGTATGTTCACTGATAAGAGAGAAGGAGAGAGAGAGAGAGAACATTGATGTGAGAGAGAAACATAGATTGACTGCCCTACTCCCCACCCCAATCAGGGATTGAATCAGAAACCCTGTGGTGCATGAGACAACACGTCAACCAACTGAGCCACCCGTCCAGGGCACCTCCTCTATTTTAAGCCCTGTTGGGGGCCGGGGGTAAATGTTAGGAAGCCACATAGATAGTCATAACTAGAACATGTTCAGGTACCTCCACCACTAATGATCATTTCTTTTGTGAACAGACATTAGAGAATTAAATCTTGAGTTGCTTTCTTTGCCCCTTGTGATTTAAAGTTCAAATTTAACATCAATTTTTACTGATCTGCCTCAAAATGCCATTTCCTGCTCAGTCCCACAGATGGTGTCCGCTGACAAATGGGGTACTCATGATGCTTCATTCTCAGTCAGAAACAGTGTTAGACATGGTGGCCTGCATTTCCAGCGCTGTCCACAAAGCTCGCCTAAGCCACAAGGCACTCAACGGCTGGACCCCAAACGGAGAGTTACTGATACACAGCTCGTGGGAAGAAGGAGGAATGCACTTT